TCTTTAATTGTTAGGAGAGTGTCGTTCAACCGTTTGGTTTGGTACATCAGCTAAGCTGAGGGAGCTCTGCAAGCAGAGATCTTACCTTGCTTTGGAGGTGACATCCATGATTTTGAGGAGTGCCCAAAGGAGCCAATCGAGTGTTTTCTTTGAAGTGTATTCTCTGAAGAATCACAGATAGGGGTCTGTCAGTTTTTAGGCGGCTCAGCTCCCTACTCGGCTTGTGGTGTGAGGAGCAGGGAAGGGCTCTGGGAGGAGAGAGGTGGCAGGGGACCACGTGTCGGGCTCAGCTGATGGACAGGTCTCATATGGCAGCGCTAGGCTGTGATGACATGCTGGCAGGGGTCTGCACGCACCGTAGCAGAATTAGCATGGCACAGTCAGAGATGTGAAACCAATTATGTATGGTGAGCCTGATCTAACACCCTGACCCTTTGTGAAGATCACATCCAGCCAAAGCTGTTAAAGGCATTACTGTATTTGCTCAAATGTAGGGTGGATTGCCTTTTCTCCAGAATCAGAATCTGAAAATACCAGGTTGCCTAAAATTCATGGGCTGTAACTGATTTCTCTCTTTTAAAAGTCTAAAAAATTTGCATCCCTTTTTGGACTTCCTAAATGGAGGGCATCTGTCGTTGCTATGCAAACCCCGAGCGTGATGGATATCAGTTCCTGGACTCTACTGTTCTATGGGTGATAGATAAATAAAACTCCTGTATCAGAGGAATTTTGGTGGTTTGGGGGTTTGTTTTATTTTTTTTTTCTGACTATGTATTTACAGTCACAAGCATTGCTTGCTTTGTGGAACAATAAATTTAATACATTAGCTAGTATATTATTTTTTAATTATTTATGTGTTGATGATTTCAATTTAAAATGAGATTTTCAGGTAACAAGGTAGGCAAACATGTTTAACAATGCCATGATATAAATTGCTGTAGGTGACAGATCCGTACAAAAATTATTACAGGCAGATTCGCAATGCAAAAAATTATTTATATGACAGCAAGCAGAAAGACAAATTACTCAGAGACTATGTACATGCTCTTCTGTAATTGCTCATAAATTATTATGGTTCATGTTAAAATGCATCTAGACTCCCTAGACAACTAGATTTATTTAAAATAAGAATAATGGGAAATTACCAGGAAATGTTGGGGAACAAGATGCAATGCACACTTTGGGTGACTGCTAACATAAAAGTGCAGTAACTTATTGTCAGCCAGCTTAATCTATAATTTGCTTAATAATTTTGAAACCTTCATTTTTGATTCACCATCTTCTCGGGTTGCGTTAGCCTGGATAGTTAAGTGGGATGGGCCCAGTGGGGCCCCACTGTCATTAGCTGCTGCTGTGTTTCCCTGCCGGCGGGGGCCACATCGGGACTCTCGCCTGCACCCATGTAGGGCTTTTGTGTACCTGAACGCTTTCATGTTCTACCAAATAGGATTGAATTTAGTCTGTTGGATTAGAAGTTATGCTAATGGAGTGGGGGGACTGGGAGATAGATGGGCAAACCTCTTTTCCTTAGGAAGCTGGGCTAAAAATGGGACATATCCTCTCAATGCTCCAAATTTTAGAAAATATTTCAAATAATGGTCTTTATTGAAAGCATCTACAATGCATGCACAATAGATAGGATTTAATTTGAATGGGCTTTCGATAAGGCACTTACTGAGGGTCAGCTGATTATTGGGTAGCAGAGAAAACATGTATATACATTTATTATATAATAAGCGCCTCACTCTAATGCCATTATTTTTCTCTTCTTACCACCCTGATTATATTACTCATTGAGAGCCAGCCCAACAAAAATGACAGCAAACTTTGTTCTGGATAATGGAGTGCTAAACTCCACCTAAGCAGCTCCAGTAATTTGTAACGACAGCTTGGAGAATACTCCAAACGAATCTAACAGTGCTCACGCTCCAGTGAGTGACAGCGCGGCAAGAGGAAAAATTCCAGCTTCCACGTGAGCGCAGGGAGCCTGACCTAGATTTTAGCCTCTACAGCTTTGTAAGAGGAAACATTCTTGACTGTGTATTTAACAAGAAAAAAAGAACAAGGGGAAAAAGTCGTCTCCTGTTTGATTAGTCTTTCTTCAATAATTAAGATTTAGTCAAGGCGCTCTGTGAGACTTCTCCCCTCCGCAGATGTCATCAACCCTATAATGAATGGTTGCTCCGTTCCCTGTGTGCTCTCCTCTTGGTAATTACCACCTCCTGGCATGCTGCGGGGAGCGAGCTGCTGCAGGGGTGCAGCGGTGCGGGCAGGGGCGCTGGGCAGGCAGCCTGCCTGCACCTTCCCCCTCCGCTGCGCTCGCTGTGTTGGGGTCAGCCTCGCCGCTGGCTGCTGAAATTCTTCCATCCAGATACTGTTAATGGGAAAAAGGTCTCTAGTGTAAATCTTTTCTTTCTTTCCTTCTTTTGAGATGCAGGTGCTGGGCTGGGGTCGGGTCACCGTGGCCGGTGACCCCACTGGCGTGCTGGCAATGGCCGGCGGTGTGCCGGCCCCACAGTCTCGCTCTCCGCTGGGGGCAGCTGGAGATGGGTTTTAGACACCCTAATGACCTGGCTGTAAATTACCATTCCAATGTCTTTCATCTGGTCCACTGTGCTTTATATACTCCAGCAGTTGTAATTTTGAAAATAAAATAATATAGAAGTGCACGCTAGAAGAGAGAAGACGTTTTCAAATACAAGTGGAAGATGAGGCAGAGTGAATGACACTGAAGGATGCTCAGTGTTTGTTTGAGCTGTGCTTTGACAAGTTGTTTGGTGTGGATGTGGGAGAAATTTTATTGGAAGGAGAGGCATTTTCAGCTTCCAAAGCTGGATTTCCATATTGGGTCAGTATCTAACTCCATAACTCTTCCTAATTGTGACTCTGCTCTGTGAAGTAACTGAAAAACTGGCCCCTTTCTGCTTGACCCACAAGCTTTCCGTGTGTGTCTGAATGACAGTTATTCTTTACTGTGGTTTAACTTTGCTGAACGAGCACAGGTTCAAAAGCATTAGATGACATGACAGGATTAGATTGACAGAAGATTGACAGAATTAATTAGATTGGCTGAATTAGTTTGGGTCTAAATTCCAGCTCTGGGCACCCCTATTCATGGCAGCTTACTTAGACTTTTGTGACTTTGCTAAAGCACAGGAGGAAGGGTGCCTTTGAGAACGCCTGTATGGCCTGGAGAACGGGGATGAGCCATCTGGAGAGCTCAGCGTTGCTGTTCACATCCTTTGCTGAGAGAAGGCGGCTGTAAGCTCTGCACTGCTCTTTGATTGTAAACTCGCACCAGCCTGAAGAGCAGGGCTTAAAAAAAGCACAGAAGTTTTGTGAGGAAGCTCTGTATGGAGTACATTGATACCCACTTGATGTAAAAGCCTTCAAAGCCACCTAAATAAAATAATTTTCTGATGTCAGAACCAGGCTTTAATGTAAAAATTGATTGGATGGGTTTTTAGGACTGGGAGTCTTGGGTTCTTTTTCCAGCTCTGCTCTGTTCATTTGTTTTACAAGTAAAGTTTGTTTTAAAACAAGATGTTACATGGAAGTTTATGTATTAAAAATGTATGAAAGTGGTTAGCGTAAACAGGTTTAAATATGGTTCGGTTGCATGATTCATGTGATCACAGTACAATTAAAGCTGACTTACTGCAATGGAGAAATTAAAACCCTCCGTTTATCATGGTTAGTGTTGAAGGATTCAAGAGAAGCATTAAAAAATGGTAGACATAATTTAAAGGCAGTAAAAGCCACTAAAAAAAAGTACTAGAACTGATAATCCACCACGTGTAAAAATTTTGGCTAACTACGTTTGTTTAAGTAAATAAAAAAATCACTTAATGAGCAAATGCTATTGAAGGTGTATGTGAAATAGAGAGTGTATGAGTATCTAACACTTGGAGTTTGAGAATTCATACTGTAAATGCAGAAGAGGCAACTTGAACCTTACTTGGTTGAATTTGCGGTAACTACATCAAGGGTAAAGATGTTCCACTTAATGTGTAGCTGAATATGATCAATAAATTCTAGAAACATCACATTAAGTCTATTAATTTTTGGTAGTGTATTTGGCTATTGATGATCTGCCTTTGCAGTCTTTTTCTTTGTTTATATTCTTGGTTAACTTTCAGATTTACAGTTTTTCCAGCAATAAAAAAGATTGAATCAAAAAGTCTCTGATGTGAGGGGGAGTTACATGTTGATGTGGATGCATGTTCTAGGATTATACTGTAACTAAGATGATTTAAAATAATGGGAGAAAAAATTGTAGGGAGAAGTAATCTTTTATTAAACTGGCTGACATATGTTAATTTTTAAAGTGAACTATCAAGAAAACTGTTTCAAAAAGTTTTTGCTGCACAGAACATCAAAAGATCCCTTTTCGTATTTGTACAATTCCTGTATTAAGCTTGATTGCATAGATGGCATGTTGTAATTGTATCCTGTTGTATATAATACATAACTCTACAGTTTGAGTAGGCTGTAGGAAAAAAACAACAACTATGTGGAACTGCCTTGAAAAGAAAATGATGTATGTCACATCTGTTATTTATTTTTTTAATGTAACATAATTAGCAGAGGTGAATGGAAAAGTTTTGAGGGATAAGATTGGGAACAGATGCCTGTGTACATTTTCCTCCAATAAAGAATTAAAAAAATCAAAACTGGCTTACTGGGGCAAGTAGTTAACGTAAAAACAATTGGTTTATTTATTAAAGAATTAATGTTTGGGGATGAAAGTGATGATATTCTAAAGAAATGGAATTGAGCTGGCCCAATGCGCTGTATTTATTGCCTGCACATTTGCATTTACTTGTAACTAAAAAAGGTGTATAAAACCCTTTAATTGCCAATAGCTGCTTTGGGTTTTTCACACTGCTATAAATCAGAGGTTCTTTTAATTAATTGCATTGCATTTCACAAGCTGACTTTCACTATCTTGAAAAGATATGTCTGTATCTAATATTTCTTTATTATTGTTTTGCTTTCAGTTGATGGTTGCATTGACTGGTCAGTGGATCTCAAGACATACATGGCTTTGGCAGGTGAACCAGTCCGAGTGAAATGTGCCCTTTTCTACAGCTATATCAGAACTAATTATAGCATGGCCCAAAGCACAGGACTTAGGCTTATGTGGTACAAAAACAAAGGAGATTTAGAAGAACCCATTATATTTTCTGAAGTTAGGATGAGCAAGGATGAAGATTCAATATGGTTTCACTCGGTTGAGTTGCGAGACAGTGGTTTCTACACATGTGTTCTAAGGTGGGTATTGTGTTAAACTCTAACTAAGAATGTATAGATTGTCTTGGCTAAAAAAAAAAATTAAATTTAGCTCTTGGGATTGAGATATTCTTCCAGTTAATATATACTTATTATTTTTATTCTCATAATTATATGTCACATAATGCTTTGTGTCAAAAGTAGTTTCCCTAGTAATTATAGTTACCTCTTCCAATAGCTATAATTAAACATATGCTCTCACTTAATTAATTTTTTGCAGTCCAACATTTGCAAATTCTCCATTTGCCATAAACCGTCAGAACTGGATACTTCTTAAATCATGAAGTATTTTGGTTAAGTAATGCTCTTTTTCAAATCCTCTGAGTTACTCAAGAGTTAGACACAGTTTGAATTATTCTGATGGGGTTAGACCATGGGGAGTTACAGTTCCATCTGGTTTTGAAGAAATGTTTATTTTGATATACAGTTATGATTTGTCACAAATTTAAGCAGACCTCGTTTGGTAAGGCACTGAAATCCATGTCACAGAAGTATTTTGGAGCTGTTGGATGAGCCTTAAATTAAGCATGTGCTGGAGCTCGTGATTTCTGTCATGTGGATGTTTATGTCAGCTCTATGCTTAAAATGAGAAGATAAAAAAGGAGGACTCTTTAAGAATGAATGAATAAATATGCCTTAAATGATCCAGTTTTGAATTAAAAGGAATTTACAGATACTTTATCTGATTTGCTTTTAAACTATTGATTTTCAGAGAATGAAGCTTGCTTCATCCTTGTCTGCTATCCCATACTGAAATTATACACGTTTGATGAATTTAGTATCAGATATCTGCAGCAAAGTAACAGCACTGTTCAGAGCCTGGAATTTGTTCTCTCACCATCTATGCTAAGTCTTGCTGCCTCATCTCAGCTGCCTCGGTCCATTCTGATCCTGAAGAACGCTACTAAAGTCAAAGATTGTGGTGTGGTGCATGGGGGTTTGTGCTGGGGATCAACGTTCAGTTTAAATATGAGATGCATCTGCCAAACTCACTATTAATTCTGTGCTGCAGCCTTTGGAGTTATTCTTTTATTAGCTGCTCTGTCACACGTTTGGTGTAATGTGAACTCCGAGATTTTGAAATGTTATGGGAAGATAGTGATTTACATGTTTCAAGGGAGGTATACTTTTTTCAGAAGAAGTTGCTGTTGTAATAATCAAGTTACTAGTTTAATAATCTGGAAATTTCAATGCAAATCCTATGTGAACAACGAAGACTTGATCTTGGATCAAATTCTGGGACATACTTTTTTCTGGCAAATTTCAATACTCTTTGCTCATTTACATGACAAAGTAGTTTTGGTAACAAATGGGGAAGTTCTAATTCATGCATTCTCCTAATTTTCAGCTAAAAGCTGTATGACATGCTTCTTGGAAGGCATTACACAGTGATAGCATCTTCCTTGTCAGTTATGCAGTTCTCCTGCTTTGGCTAGAACTTTCTTATATAATTACAGTTATTTTTGCCTTTTTCAGATTTATGTCCCAGTGCAGAATATTACATATAATCGTTCTTTCTTCCTTTACTGAATTAATTTTTCCTTCCAAAAATCTGGTAATGTATCCTTGCTGTTATTGTTTATGAAATCATAGGTGGCTTAAAATAGCTGAGGAAATAGCAATAGTAATTTATTTTAATTTCATTAAAATTGGGCTAGATGTAATGTTCTGAAATATGATCACACTTTTGTGGTAGACTATCCACACCATTAGCTGTGTAATTTCAGCTTTATTAACCCATTTTTTTGGAGGGGGATAAGCAGATGCTTGTGTTCTAGTCGTTAACCAGGATCACCTGCTTTGTGAGAATTAAGAGGTCACAAATGAGAGCAGTAATTCTAGAATATGATTTTATTTTCTAGAAATATTAACAATTTCTATTACAAATGCCTTCTTTTGTAGACTGAGTGAATAGAGACTGGTAGAGAGAACTCAACGCAGTGGAACTGAAGAGTTGACTGTCCATCAGTGTGCAACACTGGGTTTAGGGTTGCATGTATAGCTGAGTCTTTTGCTTTGGTAGCTGAATGAAAAAAAAATGGGGAGAAAAATGCTTTTGGTTCAAGATATGTGTAAAACTTTTGAAGTTTTTGTCAACTAAGAAGTTTTCATTTAACAGAAAATCAGAAGCAATTAAAATCTAAATTCCTGTCTTTCTAGTCACTTACCAAAGGTGTGGGAAGCCCTGGTGCAATTCCCTGTGCTGCCCCAAGGGTGAAAATCCACATTTGCGTGTCCCAGAGGCCAACACTGCATTCAGCCACTTCAAGTCTCTTGCCTTAGAACCCTTCTGTCTGAAATTTGTACTTGTCTATACAAAAAGTAACAAGGGGGGCGAGATGCTTGGATGTGGTGCTAAGGCTAAGTGGGGACAAGGGGTCCCTGTCCCAGGAGTTGTTTATGGCTTGAAAGGAAGGACAATCCAGCTGGGAAAATCTTCTCTGATAGAAGGCAGTTGAACACCAAGGGGTTTTAGCAAGTTGTACATAAAGGATGTCACAGACAATAGTGAGAGCTACACTAATTCACTCTCCTCCAACTCGTTATTTTTTTCCCAGTCAAAACAACATGGCAAATAAGAAAAGTGTATGGGGAAAATGGCAATTGCACATTTCACTGAGTTTTCCTATTTGTTGAAAATGTTCTTCACAATTCTAAAAAAAACCTTGTTTTTCAAGAAGCTGCATTTTCTGGTTGCTCACGGGTGTTTGTAGGATCAAGGCATGAGTACCTTTGAAGCAATTGGAAGGAATCTTTCAGAAGCTGCTTGAAAAGAGTGGGTATGAGCAGGGGAAGGATAGGCTGAAATGACAGTGATTTGGAGATGGGTAAAAATTTAATGTGTCAGAGAATTCTTTCTTATAGAGAAATGTCACTTCATTAATCATAATGTCTGTTTTGTAAATGAACCTGCAATGCTGAATAAAATTAAGGAATATTAGAGCAGCATTAATGAAAGAGATTGCTTCTCCAGACTGGAGAGGTCTAATATCATAATTTAAATGTTGCCTCTCCTTTATTAACCAAGTAGACACTGTTCCATAGACAGGTGTGAGGGTGTTTGTATAATAAGAAATTATTGTTGCATCAAAACTTACTTCCCTCTTCTCACAATACATTTTGACATTCAGACACTCAGATGCTAACCAGTGTGGTATCTTTCTGCAATGTTAAGCATGGCTGTCACATATTAAGGGATCCTGATTCTGCAGGGACTTTTAAAACAGTGCAAAGTTGTGCTGTGTTACCTAATCCATGTGAAATCCATGGATCTGCTTAGTTCTTAGGTGCCTTTTCTGTGCCATATCAGGGATATTGCTCCAGCAAGATCCAGTGACATGCCAAAGGGATCCTTACTCATGGATAGATGTGTGTTCCATTCAGTTCCCAGATAAATGCTGGGACACATACAGGGCAGTAGCTCAATATGGAAATGCGGTGTTCCGGAGATCTCTTTGCAGTACAGGTCCTGTATTAATCTGCCAGCACCCACCAATGCTACTTTCAGATAGAGCTGTCAGCATTTCTGCTACAGAGGTTTGGTGTTCTGGGATTTTTGCATCAGCACTCTGGATCGAAGCATCTTCACTGAAGGATTTCAGAGATAAGAGCACCAAAACCAAACATGGAAACTCAAAATCATCTAAATGCATAGGGTGGCCCTAAAGTTCTTAGGGTGTAAGACAGTCATTTGCCAGATCATGTGCTGCTTTTGCTCTCTGAACAAATACATTTGTTTTTCTGTGTTAAATGCCTCTGTTTTTTAATGAGGGAACAAGAAGTGGGCCTACTTAGATCTTCTTGACCTGCTGAAAGAAGAGAAGATGAGCTAGGGAAGAAATCTCAGCAAAGTTTAGCAGCACCTTTGCCCTCAGCAAGGGATTACTCCTGCAGCCCTTTATTCTAACTGGGCCCAGCTCCAAAGTAAACTGGACTAGTACTGAATAAATGCTTTATGAGCAAGATTAGTAAGAGAAACATTAGTGTGTATTTGCTGTTGGTTAACTGTTGGTGAAATAAAATAACTCAATTCCCATAAAGTGAATCAGGAGGACAGAAAGTCTGGGCCTCGTGGGGGTGCAGGGAAAGCAGGAGGTGGAGGTTTATGGTCGCCAGACTGGCTGACGGAACTAAGCCTGGATTTTTGTACAGGATGCAGAATAACAAGGGAGTGAGGGTGTTGAATGCCTATGAGGAGATAAGCCTGCAGATCTTTAATGCTAGCATTTGATGCCAGAGAACTGCCAACAAATCAAGTTAGGAAATCTGCACATCCTTTTTCCCTTACTTTGTCCCTATCTGCACAGTTCTTAATGGAGAGCAGCATTGCTATAGACATGCACAGAAGAATCAAGCCTTTGCCGAGCCATTGGTGAAATACTGAGATATTACTTTCTGAGCAGTAATAAAATAGACTGATAGTAGATTTTAAGCCTTCAGGCTTCTGAATGTCTGTGGAGCGCATGACCAGCAAATCAAAATCAGATTTAGACAGCCTGGAGGGGCTGTCAGTAAAACTTCATTTGTGGCATAACCTTGGTGCTCTCGCTTCACTGGGCGTTAGGAGGAGCTGAAGAACTTGTTTCCGATGCCTACAACCTGGAGTGCAGTATGCACCCATCATCCCAGGAGAAGTTGCACCACTTTCTGAACACTGAAAGTCTGGCTTCCAAGCAAAAGGAAAGAGTTTTTCTCAGGTACAGACAGAGACCAAACAGGAAAGTTGCATAAATCGTGATGTGAAAAAGTGTAGGGGTAGGATCACTTTTTCTGCAGCCATCTCTCATGATTCTTATGATACGAGTTTTAATACAGTTACTCATTTTGTTGATGTCAATATCTTCTCATTACAGAATGTTTCACGTTCAGGTGCTTTGGCTTTATTCAGTGCTCAACTGTTCATGACAAAGGTGATTTTGTATCTCAAATCCCTTTGAACACAGTGTTGCAATTCCAGTTTAGTCATAGAATGCCTCCTTCCA